TCAAGCCACAAAATGGCGGCTGCGGGAGGTGGAGCCAGCCACAAAATGGCTGCCACGGCTTACCTTCAGTCACACAATGAAGATCTTTATGCTGTGGTGGCAGCTGCTGCTAAAGTAATTTTTTTCAAAAGCTGCACAGCCAATCAAATCTCCAGTGACCAATCAAATGCCTTGCTGGGTAGAAGCCCACCTGTACCCACCCACTTTTGAAAAATACTTGGCAGACACGGGGGACCCTAGCACTAAGTTATATCTGCCATTGTCAGAAGATAACTGACATATAAATATTGTAAATAGATTTTTATCTTTGTCACAAATGGGATGTTTCCTTTTTTAAGGGGGGGGGGAGAAATGAGTTTTTAAGAAAAAGATGATGTTTAATTTGATGCCTTTTTGTCATTTGTTTTACATCAGAGCTTGGTAAAAATAGTAGCAGAAAAAGCTGGCAAGGAGAGCTTCACCTCTGTCCTCTTCTTAAAAATCCTGAAACACGGATGGACAGCCAAACTGTCCCTGTCACTTGGCAGAACCAGCTCGGCAGGGGGTGTCATGGCCACCACAGAAAGTGATCCTTCAGCTAACAGGCATCTGTACGCTACCCTCCCACCCACTGCCTGGGTGTCTTACCAGGGTGGCATTGAATAGGGGTGCAATTACTGAAACTGAAAGGCATCCCCATCAACTCCATCTTGTCTCTCACTGCCTCGAAGGCTAAGGGAATAGAATCCAAGAACATGGAGACGTTTGTCCTCTCAAACTCAACGCAGGAACTCTGTGGGGCATAAAAAAGAACACAAAGGAGTAACGATCAAATTTGTCAGAAGCCAGGACTCCCCTGCCTTGGTCTAACAAGCTGACCAGTGTGAAGAAAATAGTGGCAACCCCTCCCGCATTCAGTCCTGCGCACTCCCCCCCACCCCAAACAAGCTATGTGCTTCCCTTATATAGCTGGAGAAGTCCTCTAGAATAAGAGTACAGTGCACCTCAGTTAGCCCTCACCCACTGGGCAAAGGATGATGCTGTGGGCACAGAGGATACAGATCATCTGGTGTATTTCCGTGCCCACCTCTCCCTCACTTCACAATCCTTTCATTCAGTGGCACAAGAAGATGCCACAAGATTCCTGTGTTATTTCAAATGCGGCAGACTAACCTGGTTAGCCCTTTGGTATCCAGCATTTCTAAAGTTAACCAATGCTCTGTGCGTGCCATTTTAAAGTCTTTTGCCAGGATTGTGTTGACTTGATTCATGGCTTCAATGAATACTGAGTTCTTTGGAAACATGCAGAAAATTAAGCACTGGACCAGTATCTACTGCCACAGCATACATTATGGCCCAAAAGCTCCCCTCTGTGGTAATAATTCCTGTGCCTTTGAAGCTGTTTGATCCTGAGTTATATTAGGGTTGCCACCCTCCAGATGGGGCCTGGAGATCTCCCAGAATTACAACTGATCTCCAGCCTACAACAGATCTCTAACCTAGAGATCACTTCCACTGGAGAAAATGGCTGCTTTGGAGGGTGGACACTATGGAATTATATCCTGCTGGAGACCTTCCCCTCCCCAAAACTCTGCCCTCCTCAAGTTCCTGACCAGGCCATGGGACAGAGATGGTCCTGGTCACCCTCACGGACGATCTCTGGAGGCATCTGGAGTCCCCCCCCCCAAAAAAAAACCTCCAGGAACTTCCCAACCCAGAGTTGACAACCCTAAGTTCTATGCATACCCACTTGAAGCGAGGCCACTGAGTATGTAAGGGAGGGATTGCCTTAAGGGACCAAACTGAGGGCTTTATGAACATGCCTCTCCCACAAGATCAAGCCTGAGCATCTTCCAGGAACAGTGCATGACGCATCTATTAGGGCAAGCCATTTGACAGGCGATTGGACTAACATGGCTCAGGTCCAACAGGTGGACAGTTAATATATTTTATTCTGGTCTAAATGTTATATTTAATTCCAAAGGCTCCCACTAGGGTTGACAAATCGCGGCGGGGGATTGTGTGTCTTTGCAGAATCCGTGCCGCGGGGACGGCGAGACGCGTTGCACCCGCCGTCGCCAGGACATGACGCTACACGTCGCTCTGGCAACGGGGCTGCAAACAGCCCCGTTGCCAGAGCGACGCGTAGCGTCATGTCCTGGCGACGGCGGTTCAACGCGTCTCGCCGTCCCTGCGGCACGGATTCTGCACCTAGCTCCCACATATATACACTTGTAACAATTATTGCTATCTGGCCTGATTCTTCAGGGCAGGAGAGATCACAAACACTACTGAGGACAACAGGAATCCCTTTTAAATATGAATCCACAACTTACTTCGATCTTACAGCTTTCAAACAACTCCTTCACGCCCAGGTCCTCTTCTAACTTCGCGATGTGTTTACTCAGTTCAGACCCAGCCACCTGTAGCATGCGGCTCAGCTCACTGGAGATGAAATGAAGTTGCCAGAGTCTGAAACAATGTTCATCCTAGGCGAAACAAGGTGGGGGTGGGGGGAATGTTAGAGAGACATACGTAGGTAGGAAGAAAACAATGTGTGCCTTATAACCAGGAGGTGGACCGGTACAGGTCACCACAGCAGAAAGCACAGTATTCTTCATCTTTTGCCATGACTGATATAGGTATAGCTTGAGTGGTCAAACTCCAACGGCCGGAGAGTGCTGAGTGTCATCAGCATACTGACGGCAACCCGGCCCATAACTCCGGACTAACTGGGCGAGGGGGCGCATATAGATGTTAAATAGCACTGGCGAGAGGATCGCCCCCTGCGGCACTCCACATTCTAGTAGGTCCGACGGGGAGACCCTCTCGCCCAGCACCACCCTCTGTCCCCGACCATGGAGAAAGGAGGAAAACCATTTCAAGGCAGTCCCCTGGACTCCTACGTCGGGCATAAGATCATAATCGACCGTATCAAACGCTGCCGCTAAATCTAATGACAAGAGCAGCGCTGACCCGCCTCAATCCAGATGTCTAAGGAGGTCATCTGTAAGGGCGACTAGAGCCGTCTCCGTCCCCATGGCCAGGGCGGAAGCCGGACTGGAAAGGATCAAGGGTGGAAGTGTCATCCAGGAAAGCCTGGAGTTGTTTGGTCACTGCTCTCTCAACCACCTTACCCAGGAATGGTAAGTTCGACACTGGGCGGTAGTTGGTCAGGACTGTTGGGTCCAATTATGGCATTTTCAAGAGGGGCGAACTACCGCCTCCTTTAAAGCCTCCGGAAAAGTCCCAGTAGATAGGGACACGTTGATTTCTTCCAGAGGGGCCTGCATGCTCTCTCCGCTAGATTTAATTAGCCAGGAAGGGCATGGGTCAAGGAGGCAAGTCGTGGGCCTCACAGCTGCCAGGGTCCTGTCAACCAGAGGTCTGCCTGGGGCCAGGGAGGGCCTTGGCGGGGCTTCCTCGCACTCCCGCTGGCCTTGCAGGTCCACCGCCGGGCCCCTGATGTCAGGGTGTGTGGCATATGCTAATGAGTTATGCTAATGAGTTCCCCTAGCTCTTTTTCTACGAAATGACCCCTGCTGTCAACTTCCTCCCAGGTGAGTCAATTGAAATGGTCCAATAGCGGACCAGAAGACGGACAAGGGGCTTCCAGTTCCTTTACTGTCTCAATTGTGGCCGGGAGGTCCTGGCGGAGTGCCATGATCTTATCTGCGAAGTAGCTCGCAAATGCCTCACAGCCAATAGCCGATTCCCTACTATTTGGTCTGCCCTGAGGCAGTGTCGTAATGGACCGAATGACTCTAAATAAGTGGGCTGGGCGCGAGCTCGCAGACGCAACGGGGGCTGCATAGAAATCCTTCTTTGCGGCCTTCGCTGCCATCTCATAGGCTTTCATAAGCGTCCTATAAGATGTTTGTGACACTTCATCGCGAGCATGCCGCCACCTTTGCTCGAGCCATCTTCGCTCCCGCTTCATCCTTTGCAGCTCCGTGATATACCTTGTTCCATCCTTTCCCCCCTCTCTGTCTGGATGCTGGGATGTGGAATGATATGGTTTAGATTAATTATTAGAAGTATGGAATTGGAAACTTTTTTTAAAAAAAATAAATAATGTTTTTATTGGTTTTGTCAAAACCATGTTGACAACAAATAAGGTAAACAGAATAAGAAGCAAGAGGTGGGTGTGGCTGGATGACCACACTTCTGGTAACATGGGGTGTGGCCTAACATGCTAATGAGCTGTGCTGTCAGGGTGTGGCCTAATAGGCTAATGAGTTTCTGCTGTTGGGTGTGGCCTGTTATGCCAATGAGTTCCTGCTGGGCTTTTTCTACAAAAAGAGCCCTGGTTGTCACAACATGGTGCAATGCTCTAGGACAGTGGTGGCGAACCTATGGCACGGGTGCCAGAGGTGGCACTCAGAGCCCTCTCAGTGGGCATGCGTGCCATCGCCCCAGCCAGGCCCAGACCATCATTAAAGTGTCGAATTCTCTGCCAAATAATTTTAAGTAAATGAAAGCATTTGGGATTGCTTTCCTTACTTTGTTTGGATCATCTTAACTTAATGTATGAGTTGTTTTTTCTAAAGTAAAACCTCAGTATTCAGGTTAAATCGCCGTGTTGGCACTTTGCGATAAATAAGTGGGTTTTGGGTCACAGCTTGGGCACTCGGTCTCTAAAAGGTTCACCATCACTGTTCTAGGAATTCCCCAAATCTCTATTGTAAAGACCATAGAGATTTGAGGAATTCCTAGCACATCTCACAAAGCTGTTGACCACCACCCCCCTCTGATTTTTGCTCCCACTTCCCCATCAAGTGGCAATGCAGGTCTGGAGTATGGGGGCATGGCAGGTAACCTGGTACCCTGAGAATGATGCCCCTTTCAATAAGATGCCCAGCTATTTCATTCATTAACAGAGTGTTTTTAAGAACTTACTGGTTTCAGGTTGCCCGGCATCGATACCGGGTAGTCCCACAGGAGCAGCTTTCTCTGAAGAGAGACAGAAAGAGAGAGGGAGGCGTCAGTCGGATGTGGGTAGAGGGAGGGGTAAAAAGCAGGAAAGGCCTGAGTGGGCGGGTATTTACATTCTGATGTACAGAGTCTGAAGGTTCGTCTTACAAGTCAGTCTTTTTTAAAAATTTTATTCCTACAAAAGCAATGGTCCTCACAAGCTGCTGTGGGGCCAGCACTAGATCAAAGAGAAAAGGGACAAATAGCCCAACAGAAGCAGTATTAGAGTCAACATTATTTAAATGTGTATATACAAAGCAATAAAAACAATGCAGCAAAAATACACATAAAGAAACAGCCACTGCAAGAATGCCAAACAAAGTGGGGAAATCTTCACCCGCTGGCTGAAGAGAGTGATCAAGGGGGACAGAGGAATCCCTTTGGGGTGGGGGGGCCAAGTGTCCCACTATAGTAGAAGACCTCTCAGCATTGGGGTCCCCATTCCCCACTGCCACTTTACAGACTGGCAGAGGGAGGGGGGGGCTTGCTGGAATCACACTGAGACTTTTGGCAGAAAACCAGAAGTGACATCATCGTGTAGGTGCAGCGCACTAGTACTTGATGGGCAAAAAATAGAGTTCGGGGTAGATCTAGTTGACGTTTCTGAGCAGTCTTCATGGACGAAGTAAAGGGCTTTACAAGAGTCAAGTCTTGAGGCTACGGTAACATGGCTACATCAGTTGCCTCCAAACAGGGGCAAAGTTCTGGGCTCTATGCAGATGGAGAAATGCATTTACAGCTGCCATATTTACCGGCTTCTCTAACAGCCAAGGAGGATCTCACCTTACCTCTAAACTTTTAGGAGTCCATCAAAAAAAGCCTGGCCCTCTCTCATGCAGGGGGCATTACTCTCTTAAGGACGACCGCCTTATTAATCAGCATCACCTCCTTGTCAAGATTCAGGTTCAGTTCAATTCACTATAATACCCTCCCTCATGTCTACGAAATAATAAAGTGCCGTCAAGGCCAATGTTCCCTTTAAGGTGTGGAGTCTTGTAAGCAAAAGTTCTACTTTGTGAGCCACTGGCATTAAAGTTGTGAGCAAGTGATTTGGTTATTGCATAAATTAGTTTGCTCCAGAGCCATTCTTCCTGAGCTAAGACAAAAATCTGTGAGCTAGAGGCTAAAAAACTGTGAGCTAGCCCACACTAACTCAGCTTAGAGGGAACACTGGTCAGGGCACAACCAACTTCTGATGGACTTCTGATGGGGTTTTCAAGGCAAGAGACATGCAGAGGTGGCTTGCCATTGCCTGCCTCTGCGTCACAACCCTGGACTTCCTTGGTGGTCTCCCATCCAAGTACTATGCTGTGGATCAGTCAAGCTCAGAAGAGCAATGGGATGCAGAGGAATCCTCCTAGGAAGAGGGAGTCAGCATACCTGACCCAAGCTCATGCACAATGGTGGAGGTACTGCAGGAGGAGGGGGCCATATACGGATTCTCAGCCAGAAACCAGTACACTGGCCCCTCAGCTTCCCGACCCTGGGCTGGCAACAGAGAGCCAGTTGCCAGTTGGTTCACCCACCCACCCCCAATCACCAGAACCTAGGGAATGCCTTCGGAAGAAGATTAGGAGAGACCTTCAAGCCAGAAGGCGCAGCGCCCATCTAGCAGTTCCAACAACAAGTAGGAGGACTGAGGCAGCTGGCAGGTGCATGATGCAATACAGGTGGATAGCAGCATGGGGCTTAAAAATAACAGAGAAGGGAGTAGTTGTGTGGAGTAACTTGTCTGTTAACTACTGACATTGTTGCCTGTATTCTGGAGAGATTTCTTGTTCTTGGATTCACCCTTTGGGCTTGAAGCCATGAGTGCTGCCTGACCTGTGCCTGAACCTTGGAATTCTATTCTGATGCCTGGCCCTTGAACTGCTTCACAAATTCTGATGTCTAGAAACTGCCTCTGTGTACCTGTTGTGTGCCAGTGATAATTAGAGCCACCTCTGCTTAGCTTCTGAGTTCTGTTAAGATCAGGCTAATCTTTAGGCTTACCAAGTGCCGGTGGGGGATAGGCTTGTCTTGGCAGGATCCCTGCCGCGGGGACGGCGACACGCGTTGCACCCTCCGTCGCCAGGATGTGATGCTATGTGTCGCTCTGGCAACAGGACTCCAAATAGCCCAGTTGCCAGAGCGACGTGTAGCATCACATCCTGGCGATGGCGGTGCAACGCATGTCGCCGTGCGCAGCTCCCCCGAAAAAAAAAAGCCTATTCCCCGCCGGCACTTGGTAAACCTACCAATCTTGGCTATACAAGTTTATGCTAAAACCACAGAGCAAGCACTGTGAACATCTATTTCATGGGGAGCAGGGTTGGAATACACTCACCAGTCCATCGGTGGAAACATCCGTCGTAGGAAAAACTGTATGTGTAAAGGTGCAGTTTTCGCCCAGTCCTGAGTGGGTGAAACACAAGAACAGCAGGAGGGAGACCTAAGAGGAGGACACAGGCAGGTTTCTTTAAATTGCTAATGACCCAAATCTCATCCGCTGTGATCTGCCACAAACTCCCAGCAAAAGCATCCAATGCAAATACTATTTGCCTGGGTGAGTCAGTTGGCTTTGACCAAGGGTAGACTGGCCGTTTAACTTACAGGGAAATTTCTTGGTGGGCCACTGCCCTAGAAGAAGAAGAAGAAGAAGAAGAAGGGAAGAGATTGGATTTATACCCCGCCCTTCACTTGGAGTCTCAGAGCGGCTTACAAACTCCTTTCCCTTCCGCTCCCCACAACAGACACCCTGTGAAGTGGGTGGGGCTGAGAGAACTCTGACACAAAGGGCTCTTTTTCAAGGACAGCTGTGCCAGAGCTTGTGACTGACCCAAGGTCACATCAGCAGGTGCAAGCGGAGGAGTGGGGAATCAAACCCGGTTCTCCCAGATTAGAGTCAGCACACTTAACCACTACACCAAACTGGTGCCCAGGAGCCAACAGATCCAAGCCCCAGCAACTCTGCCTGAGTCTCAGGGACTGCTTGGCCCAGACCCCTCTTCATCCATGGCAGTTTGTGTCAGCTCACCAACTGTCTTCTCCTGCACTGCTTCCAGCTTGGGAGATGATGCAGTGGGTGAGCTCATGCCCATACTCGGCCCCACTGAGCTGAATGGGTTTGCGGCGTTAGATTGTAGCATGGCAGGGGCTGTTCAGTTTGACTTGCTTGAGGGCCGTTTTCACTTCCCGGTCCGCTCCTGGTTTATCTCTTAGTTTATCTTCTACAGGAGATGCAACAGCACAGCATACACTGACTCATAATCTTTCTCCCAACTGCAAAACAGCATTAGCTGATTTTCGGAATAATTGAAGGGGGAAAACAGTCACCTCCAGATTACACTACTGTAACTCGCTCTACGCTGGCCTCCCCTTGAGATTGACCCGGAAGTGTCAACCGGTCCAGAATATGACAGTGCGAATCCTGACAGGAACATCCAGTGCTGCGCCTGACAGGAATATCCAGTGCTGACAGGAATATCCAGTGCTGCGCCAAGTTCAAGGTTTTGGTATTGACCTATAAGGCCTTGAGCGGTCAGGGACTGACTTATCTATGGGACCGTCTCCTCCGTTATGTCCCCAAGAGAGCTCCTTAGACAGCAATCT